TTTCTTTCCACAAGAACTTTGCGCGGTGCTGTGGCAAAAACAAGTACGCGCAAAACCGAGACCTTCATACATGACCACTCGAATAAATGCCGAAACGGGGATAGAAGAAAGTATACGACTGATAAGCCCGGAAAATGGAGAAGTGCAGAATTCGAAGAAATGCCGCGGTGACGGACAACGACGTGTGAGGGCTTATCGCTCAGGCCCTACTGAAGAATGCCGATTCCGGGAAATTCCGGCACTGGTGCAGATTTTAGTTCCCGCAGAATCGTCGCTCCTTCAGATACCTATACTTCCGTTTTATTTATTTTCTGCAGGTTCTGCGTTTCTAACAATTCAGCGTTTCTTCAAGTAGATATATGGTGCTCATCATTGCAGACCGGTGGGGCGGGTGACTCGGCTGTGACGCGACTGTCATCGCTGCCGCGTCACAGCCGAGTCACACGCAGCGCGGCTCACCCGCCCCACCGGTCTGCAATGATGAGGACTGTATATACTTTCCTCTATCCGTTATTTCTTCGAAGTCGTGCTGTACTGGGTGAGCCGTTTTTCCTCACTCGAAATATAGCGCCGATGTTGAAAAGATTTGCCATTGAATTTCATACTGTTTTGCAGAGAATACCTTGCCCTATACGACCGTCCTTTTTGTTCTTTATTTATAGTTCCTCTTTCCACAAATACTTAGGACACTAAATGTAACAGCATAACAAATTTAAAAAGTGACTAAGTGAATGATCTAGTCATCCTTTAGGCAGCAGTGTTCACTAGTTGTCAGTGAGATTCATCAGGGGAAAATCTATTGCAAATGTTCACTTATTGGTACCGCGCTTTCTAAAACATATATCAAAACTGGTGTAACTGGGTGAATGAGGTCAGATTTGTGCAGGACCATACAAAAGCATTGAACACGCCTGCCGTTTCAAAAGTTGATAAATGTGCGTCGGAAGCAAAAAAAAAACCTAGATCACAAAAGCTCGGACTATTGGAAAATTTATATTCCACGTGGCCCTCGACTGGTTTTCAAAGGAGGATTGCTGAGTCACGGAGCGCTCCAACAAAAACTTCTACCCTACTAGGTTGTCCGGAGAAATCACGCCACAACTTGAACGTGTTGAAGATGCTCAAAGTTCAAACAAATGAGCATTTATCAAGCATTTCATATCCATAGACATGGACAAAGATCACGAACTCGATGTTGAAGATACAAAAAAAACTTCGGCCTCCTTCAGTATTTGTTTTTCTTATTTTCCCTCGTAGATTTCTCGGTTCAAACGATCGTGAACGCTTCCCATAATCTGAAAAGTAACGCACATTAGACAACGGTCTGCTCACCTCTCGAAAGCACTCTAACAAGAAGGACCATCCCACTTCACTTCCTAATCACAATAAGCTCACTACAAAGAAAGTCATCATTATATGTTGCTACCTTAACTTCCTTAGGAATTACAACCACAAAACTTTGCGCTGAGGGCAGGGCAGTACCGGTCTGTGAGAAAGAGTGATAAAAAACCACTGTATTACAAAACCGCTCACCTGTTTAGGAACATTTCGTATGGCCGCTGAGGCCATGCGGCGCGCGCATTAACCGTTCAGGCGAAGATCCTTATCCATACATTTTATAAAAAATTTTCATGAATACAGTCTAAAAACTAGGATTTATGAATGCAATTGAATCAAAAGAATCGTTTTCACAACCAGACACCTTCCGATCTACATGAACCAGAAAGCAAAGACGAGAAACAGTTGAAAAAATGTGAAAGGTGAAAAGAAAACAACAGAATCCTAGAATTTTCCTAAATTAGGCGTCAACTACGTAGCAAGTGCGGTAGGCGTCACTGGTGCAATTGCGTCCAGCCGTTCTCAAAGTTGTCCCGTTTGCATAGCCCTAATGCCCGGGTGTAGGTTAGGACTCCACGAGAGGTCACGGCTGCCATGTTTCGCCTCGCCGCGCGCGGCGATTGCTGCCGTGATTGGACGAGACCCATACAGTCGTGCGATTAAGATCCCGGTCCCTTCACATAGTTCTGGCATCACGCAAATCTGCTTGGCATTTTGCCAAACTAGAATATTCAATGGGACGTCAATATTTTTGAATGGCAGCTGTATTTATTCAACAGATTGCTGTATTTCTCTTGATACG